AATCTCTTCCATTAAGATGGTTTCCCATCTTCACTCATAACCCATATTATTGTTTAGATTTTTTTTTAAAAGGAACACTAACTATGGATACCAACCAAACCACCCCAGGACTGGTCATGCACATCTGAATTTGAATCAGTGACGTTCAGGCTCACAATTTAAGCACTGTAATTAATCCTAGTGACTCAATCTAGAAAAATAGAAAATGATCCCCTATTTGCTCTGATCCAGCACGACTGATCTATTTATCGGAAGTCTCCCAAAGGCATGTTGCCACTGACTGAGGATACATATCTGCCACAGCATGTCAGTGCTTATCCATAACATTGCATTGTACTGACAGCATGAGTCTCTTGAGGTGAACCAAAATGCGCATCCCAGTTTAGGCCCTCCAGTTACATATCACTAATTGCCTGCAATAATTGCTAATTTGGACCGCAAACAATGCTCGGGTGTAGCCTTAGACCTCTCAGTTTCAATGGGCAAAATAAAAGAATCTGTGAGTCTGCAGCCAGCAAATATCACAGGGAGGGAAAGACTGTTAGGCAGATGCTCTTGCACAATTTTCTGAAGGTCAAAAAGAATTAGGATTCCAGGAAAGTCAAGATGTGCTTTAAATTGAACTGAACTGATTTCATAAGCTAAGAGATATGAGAGGATTCATGATTGAGTGCTTCCTCTTTATTTTTTTTCCCCAGGAAGTTTCTTTCTAAAAATGTTGACATCTCATGTATGAAGTCTGCCAAAGCCAGTAATTGCTGAGCCTACACATTCTCACTGCTTGGATATATGACATGGCCTTGTACTAAGTCAAACCACTGATCTGTCTAGCTCAGTAAGGTCTTTCTACAGTAGCTTTCCCCGACCCAAAGGATTTCTGGATGGAATACAACTCCCATCATCCCCAGCACCGTAGTCAATTAGGTATCTAGGAATTTGGTTAGCTAGTTAACTAAGGCTATTGCAGTTATACAATGTTGGACTTGATGGATTCCACCTTTATTGGGAATTTTAAGAACTGCTTAGAAACAGTGAATTATTCTTCTGGTTCTGCCTTGCAGAAACACCCAGCAATCCAAGAGCTAACAGATGATGAAGCTATCATCCACAACATCTGGAAGGCACCAGAAGCTAAGGAGCCATCTTTCTCCTTTTCTTCAGACTTATCTTAAAGATCAACGTTTTCAGAAAGGCTTCTTTTTTTGTTGTTGTTGTTATACATTACCTATTAAAAATTACTGAAATGTTTATACAGTCTTTCAATTACAGGAGAAAAACTGTATCAGCAAGATATTAAATTTCAGCTGTGCTGATAAACTTTATGAAAGCTCCATCTGCCCACAGTTATCCAGACCTTGATAGTTTGTCTTGACTACTACAGTGTGTTTTACATGAGACTATCCCTGAAAAGCAGTCGGAAGCTTCAGCTGGTATAAGAAGTAGCATCTTAACTGCTAACAGGGACACGGCATTGTGACTACATCACTCCCAATATTTAAAATAGTTTGTCCATCGTTTTCCAAGTTCAGCTCAAAGTTTAATTCAGTTTTACATATAAGGCCCTGAACAACTTTAAGCTTGGCTATCTAAGGAATTCTTTGTCTAGTTATCAAAGGTAGTTCAGAAATACTTGAAAGAAAAAATACAAACAAATGAATAAATGTAGCAGGGTCCTCTGCTCTTGCTCCCTTCTAAACAGCGAAACAGTAAAACTGAACCTTATTTGACTGAAATGTATATGAACAGTAGAACTGTTGCACATATACACAGAGCCAACACTGTACGAAGTAGTTATTTATACTACACTAAATATTCATTTTTTTAAAAAATGAAATAATACATTTTTTAATCAAAAACCTAAACAGAAGAATGGCCAGATGGGTATCCATGGCAATTCCAAAATGGCATTGTGTCTCCCAAGAATACTATCCTACAAACCAGTTGTATCTTTAAGGAAGTCATCCAACGTAATCAATTTATATTACATTATCTCCTTTGTTTTCCATTTTTTCCATAAAATGTAATCTTATCCTGTTTTTCTTTTTTATAATGTGGGCATTTACTCAAACTCAATTCTTTACTTCTGCTGAACAAACTTCTCATTTCCTATACGTACACCCACTCGATATTTTTGGATCAACTGATTATGAAATCACAACTCTGAGATACTAGCAATTAAATGACAGCAAGAAAGGAAGCCAAGCAAATTACAACATGTGTAAAAATGTAAACTCCACAGATAGAAAAATGGTTTGCTTCCACCATTCACATAAACCACAGTCCAGTTCCCACAGCCACTAGCCCTGTCAAACCTATCAGTAGGGATAGTCCATGATCACAGTAAATATTTTCAGAATTCAAAGTTCATACACCTGTTTTCCATAAGCAAAGCACCAAGCATCATTTGAGCCCCGGTACCAGAACAGCACTGGCAAAGTTACACTGCATCAGTAAAGCTTTCCCATTGGTCTGGTAGACAGCAGTAGGCTTGGCTGAGCCTTTGTAGTCAATCAGGGCTTAGGAGGTGTGTTCTGTTTTGCTGGGCCTTGACATAGTTCTTCTTGACATAGAGAGACTTGCTTTTTCAGTTCTTCTTTCTCTTCACCTCTTGCCTTTGGAGGGCTAGGTTAATTGAAGGGATTTAGGTGGTCCCCCAACATGACTGACTGGTTTAATTGGTTTAACCTTATGCTTGACTGCATTTGTTTGGGACTAAATTTAACCTCCTGGGAATTAACCCATTAGGTCAACATGACTCCTTTTCAATACAGTAAACCTTCAATGGACGTTGGTTTCGCAGACTTCTGATTTAATAGACAAAACCCACTGGATCCAAGTTTAATAGACAAAACCCACTGTCCAAATTTCAGGCAATGATGGATTTTGCCCAAACAACTAAGTTATTTATTTGGTTAAATTGTCTGAAGAATGTTCGTCTTCCCTTCAATATTGATATTCACTGCTACCAATAAAGTAAGTTTCGTCATGAACAAATTTGTCTTTGGGCTTGAAAATCTTTTTATTTATTTATTTTTATTTTTTTGCCATTTAGTAGCTATTCAGCTTTACTAACCACCCATGCCACCCATAAACTAGATCAATGGCTTACTGCAGCCCCACTACATTTAGCAAAGAAAGACAAACAGTTCAATCGTACAATAGTTTATCAGGGAATAATCTGCATTCAAGAAAATAAGGCTTACTTTTGAATAGACATGTATAGGATTGCACTGCAATTGATTAAATACCTGGAACACAATCCAAAATGCACTCAAAAAATTACTGGCTATGGACATGAACAACCACATCTACTGAATTCCAGGGCAAGAAGACAAACAATCCAATAACCTGTGCTCAAGTCGCAATTCAATTATTTTAAGGATACTTAATAGCAGGCAATTTGTCTGTGAATGGAAGTCACAACAGTTTGAACTTTATGGAGTTCAAAATGCAATCATGCTGTTATGCACAAAGGATTTTTTTTAGAATTGTTTATAGCAAACCCTAAGTACACATATCAAATAGAGTATTAGAGGACAATACAATCTAAATTAACACAAGAAAAATTGCAAGCCTATATGTACTGTATTAATATATGATATTCAACAAGGATCTGCCAAGAGAATTAGAAACAGAAATAGAACACAGACATATTACTAAAAAATATAAAATCACAAAGGAAGCCATTCAACAGAGATGGGTTTTAACTATGAAGAGAAAGAATTGGAATCCATTCGTGACTCCTGGCACTGGTTCCTTGATATGTCCTAACATTTGAATTGGCCTCCTTTCCAAAAGAAAAACACCAGAGTTTAAAGATAAAAAGGAAGATAATAACCTTCATCCACAAGGAAAGTTGCAATTTGTAAACTGCACCCATAGCTCATAAAACCGAAGAGGGCAGAACATTTTTCTTTACATTTTTCTGTATGATCATCCTGGCATGCAGCTATTTTCAAATGTTTACAGAATGGATAAAAAGCAAATGAGATGAACCATCTCAGTTCAATTTCCTCTCATTTTCAGTGATTTGCAGAAAAACTTTTCTTTCCAAGCTATGTCAGCCATTCCTTTCTCAGAGGCAACAACACTGTAAAAGAGAAGCACTTTAAAAAGGGAAAATTACCTTCATCTATAGGTTGATTATCTTCCCAGCTCTTGATGTAGTCATCCTATTAGAGAGAAGAAAAAAAGAACAAATTAACTATTTAGACCATAGAAAATGTTAGCGATAAAAAAATCTTGATATTCAGAATGCCAGGTAAATCAAAAGTCTTTCTCAATCTTGAGCTTAGCATTATAGGACTGGAATTTGGGGAACCTCTAGTTTTAACATATCAAAAGGGCACCAAGTTGGGATAGTTGGCACTAGAAGTAATATTAATACAGAGGGTGCAACATCTGATACTTCCTTGATGGACCTAATTCCAGAAACTGAAACATGACATGATCTGCCTACAATTTCTGTTGGGCTGACTTTTGTTGCATGAGAAAGCCAAAGGATGGGATCACCCATTGACTACAAAAAGCTGCACAAAGAAAAGGAAATCAACACAATCTAACCCAGGGAATTTGCCCATGTTCAATTAAAATGCTTAAGCTGGGAGTTGCAGAACACCAGGCCATATCCTCATTCCTCTTATTATTTTTAATGAGAGTTTCCAAAAGTGGTAAGGAACAAACAAGGTAACAGTCCACTGAAAATCAATGCAACATTTTCTGGTTTAAAAGTCTTACGCAATTAAATATAAACACGCTCACTCAACCAGAAGAACAAAATAAAAACGGTTTAATGATAAAACCCTCAGGGTACAAGATTGCCATTCTGTTTCATCAGAACGTCGGCAATCTTTTTTTTATTTAAAACAATGGCAGCCTTCCATTTGCTGAAGCTTAGAAATGATTGACACGAGCCCTTCTGAACATGACCATATTTTTTCTCCTCAAGTTCCACATGATACAGTGGCCTTCTGAAAATATCGTATGTAGCAAAAATCCACATTTCCCAACTTGATTTCTAGAATATGGAAACTGGTAACCTTGCCACGGGGGTTAACAGTTTTACTAGTCCAGTGGTAAAAGGAGAATCTTGTCAGTAAGCAAGGGACAGCCAAACACATGCAAATATTTTTGCAGAAATACTGTACTTGCTGAATATTTGGCAAGGGATCTGCGCAACCTTGAAGAACAACCCTCAGTCTACAAGATCTTTTGATTTACATTTAACATACTGATGGCATTGTCAACCAGCATGTATTTTGAGAGTTAGGACAGACATTACAGCCAAAAAAAAAAAAAATGCTGATGCAAACCATCTATTTCAATGAGGGACTTGCAACGAGAAACCTGGAACCAGAAAACGATCACGGAAACATGCAGTTGTCTGAAACAAAAAAGCTGCACTTGTCTTATGCGATTTCCTACAGAACATGTCATACTACTCACACTTGTTTGCTTTTGTAACTAGATGTGATGATGTCTACGCTGGTTTTCATGCAGTCGTAAAGATTATGATGGAACACAAAGGAAACTTTGATTTGTAACACAGGCTTTCTTCATGATAACACAGAGATGGCATTCAGAATCAAGCACCATTTTCCTTCAAGTGATGTGGTGGGAAAAGGAGGTGGGTGGACTTGAGGATAAAAGGAGATATTTTGACTTCAGACAGCAGCCTCTTTAAGGGGAGATGACAAGGTGTTGTATATCCCTTTCCATTTCTCCTGCCAATCTTTACAATTAGAGGCCGGGTTGGAGAAAGAAGCCTTTTGTTCCAATCCAAACAGCTTTTGGGAAGTGTCAAAATTGCTGGTTCTCAAAAGGATTGGACAGAAAGCAAATGCGAGGCTTGACTCACATCTGTGAATTGGCTGCGGAGATGATTTGGAGACAGTGCCTAAATCTTTTTCTCTCTGCATTTGATCTGAATTTATAGGCAATCCACCACAGGCAGGAAGATCTGGCCAATTTTTCATGGGCCATGTTCCACCACTCGGAATGCCCTTTAAAAGAAACCCAATTCAAAGCACTGTGCTAGAGGAAACAAAGGAAGATGGTACAGGACTGAGGAAATGAAAAGCAGATTTTTTTGTTTTAATCTGTACTAACCTCCACCTCCTGGAAAATCCAGACCGCAGCAGAAGGGCAGCAGAAAGAGAGAGAAAAAGAGAAGTAAAAAAAAAAAAACCCTCTTTGTGCACGAAAAAGCAAGTATATAGTAGAATGCAGGCAAGGTAACCAATTTTTTTTTCTATTGCATAACTTTCTGATAACATTAGAATTCATTGTCCATAAATGATGCTTTTATTAACCATTCTGCTATGGGCATTTTATATGGCCACCCAGTTATGAATTTGAGATGGGCGGCCATATAAATTGAAATAAAAAATGTTTGTTTTGCTTTGTTTTTCCAGTTGAAATGCAGTAAGCCATTTGTAACAACAGCAGTGGGTTCTTGGATCTGAAAGGAAAATTAATCAAAACAAGGGCCGTTAATTCAGGACATTTACTAAGCAGCAACGTCTTCCTCCAGAGGTTTTCTCCTGCCTTTGGGGCATGAAGTATGGAGTCTCAGCGGGCTCTTCTGGAGTTGCACAACATATTTCATATTCTGACAGTCCCAGCAATGCGTACACTTGTTTATTTCTCCCTTTGCCTCTGCAAATAAAACTAAACCAAGGACACAGTTAAGTCTATTTGTTGGCAGTACTCATTATAGTACAAGCTTGTTGTATTGTATGAGGAAAACAGACATGGAATTGTAATGTATGGATTCCATAATCTCTGGACAAATTTTACCTATATAAATAGATTATGTACAGGGATGTATGATCCATCCAATTTTCCCCCCAGTAAACTTATCAGCTGTCCATATCCAGTTCTTATAAATAACAAGGAAAAGATAATGGAGATATATTTTTATGGGTATTATTCCCCTCTACCCACTCCAGCCACACTCCATCCTTTGTCCTTCCATAGAAATTAATATCTACAATGTAATTAGAAGAACTGGTCAGTTGGAGAATAGCTATTAGGCTACAGCATGAGCACCAGTTGTTGGGGAAACCAGGTGAAAGGGCACAGTGATGCTCTGTCCAGTTAGTGAGCATTTCATGAGCATCCCATTGCCACCCTGGAAACAAAATGCAGGGCTGGGCAAGCCTTTGGGATTTATTAGCACTTATCAGAGAAAGTCTCCATTTTTTCCTACCAGTTTAATAAAAGAGATTTTGCTTTAAAAATATTTCAGAGGAGAAGGGAACTTTGGAGGATTTCTCATGGTCTTCTTATACGTGTTTAGGCCAAGGGGTGTGTGAGAATATTCATTCTTTCAGGGTATAATAATTTCTCCAGTCATTTGCAGCCTCCTTGACTTCCCACAGTTCCGTGAAATCCCAAGGAAAGAACTTATGAAGGATCTATACCCATTGTAGCTTGTTAGTAGTGGGACCACTGTCAGTGCTACGAGGATCCTGCCTGTTCTATCAGCAGCCACTCAGGTGGAAAGCCTATCTTTCTGCAAAATGAAGTTGTCTATGGTTTACAAAAACATCACTCTAGATTAGAGGCTAATGACCTCATCAGGTCATCTAGTCCAGCCACAACTAGCTGCTATACTCAAGAACCAATTTTTTTTTTTTTTTTAAAATCCAGCTAGGAAAGGGTTCTGCTTTCTTCTAAGGAAGTTGGTCCTAAGGACTGTTTTCCTAAGATGGCTTCAGAACTTCAGGAGAGCAGCATCTCCTAATGATAGAAATGTATAAAATAGGCCCTTATAAGGTAAAGCACCATGCAGAGTTACCACCTCACCCAAATGCTTTTCATGGAGTTGGCCCACCATCTCTGTGAAAGCCCTCAAGAGAAAATTCAGACATACAGATAAGCCAATTGCAACCAAATAAAACTGCCCAATTGTGAGATCAGCCAAGTTGTCTTAAAGGAAATATAAGGGCCTACTTCATTATTACATGGACATCAAATCAACAATAGCCATTCTCCAGGTATCCTTGCACCATTCCAGAAAGGCTCATACCTTTCTCAGTATGTGTCAGGGCTGTATTTTCAGCCACCAACCATTCAACAGAGTCATCATTGCCTCTTTCATTTCCACTCTGGGAGGGACCGTCTAGCAAAGCCATTTATCTCCCTGACTACACCTCGTAGTAGCTCTTCACCCACTGTTTTTCTTTTAAAATGCCAGGGCTGTAACTCCAACCTCTCCCCCCTCTGCCATAGCTCCCAGCCCAGCTGGAATTCCCAAACTCTGAGACAAGAGATCCTTGCAGCTGAAGAAGCCAGGCTACAACACAGCTCAAACTTAAATGCATCAGGAGTCCCCATATGCCGTCCTAGCTTTTTCTGGGGCTGCCAATTCCAAGGCCGGAGAACAAACCACATTTATTCTCTCTTGCATGGCATGCTCAAGCCTTTTAGCCTGCGGCACCACCACTGGGTGCATTTTCAATAACACAACCCAAAGTGAGCATACAAAGCATGACCATGTTTTTTTCTCTCTCCATCCCCTCTCAGCCCAACAGGAAACTGCGCATTGTCAGAGCTGGCGCGCTGCCATTCTGCTGCAGCTCTGCCAAGTGAACAAATGAAGCTTCACATTGGGGATGGTGGTGGTGGTGCTGAAATATGGAGCCACCTGCCATTTGGGTACTGTCTTCAAAACCAGGGATCAAAATACCCTTAGAAAAAAAGTAGCATTACAGACAAATTTAAGGTGATTAGAGGGATGTCCAGATCCATCCATGTCTCTGCTGTTCTTGGGCAATCTTGATTCTCCCTTCCTTAGTCTTTCTCTCTAGAACAGTGTTCCTCAACCTTTGCAACTTTAAGATATGTGGACTTAAACTCCCAGAATTCCCCAGCCAGCATGGCTGGCT